AGGCGTCGTTCGGATATACGTCTGATCGGATACTGCTGAAGGGCATTAATTTTGATGTCAGACTCGACTCACGTATCGCTGTGGTCGGATTCAGCGGTGCAGGCAAGTCGACGATGTGGATCGAACGACCTAAGTTGTTGGCATCTAATTGACACAATCACCTGGAAGAGGAATCTGACAGATGTCTGTCCTGCAGCCTACTAATCATCTAGATATTGAGGTATACTCCGTAAATTTCCGGCTGACTTTCTTGTATCTGAGCAGTATATTACTATCTTGATGCTTTGATGGCGGCTCTGAGCTCGTGGAATGGGGGCATGACCCTGATCTCTCATGACGAACGAGTTATCACCACGGTCGCGAAAGAGGTGAGCTTGATGAGTCAACCCTTCGTTCAAGCGCATACTGACCGCGGCTACCAAGTTGTGAGTGTGTGCGGACGGTACTGTAACTAAATTCAAAAGTGGCGTACAAGCGTACAAGGTACGTTCACTCATACTCACCAGCCTCATCGTAAGCAACATCAAAGCTCGTTCATGAGCAAGCACACCGCCAGAACTTGTGATATGGGTCATGTTTCTCTGTCATCGGCCCGTGCGAACCTGCTCGTTTTGCGTTCAGGGTCGGTCTTATCACTACATGAGTGACACGGATCCATTCTGTGTATGTAGCTATGAAGTTCTACTTTGCTCGCAGCCAATCAAAGCCGGCTCAAGGAATATCTGCATGTCTAATTTCTCGTCCCATTTGTATTCAACGTCATCAGTCCGTAGCATGCAGTATAGGTGTAATCTCTGCGAAACTCTGATTGCGTCGCAAGCACTTCCATCAGCAGCAAATCCCAAGCTTCTCTAGTCCCTTTCACTTTCAGCTCACGCTGTTCAATCTCAAGTTCGCTTCGCCCGGTCGAACGGGGTAAACCCATTGCTATATCGACCTTAGAGCTGGAGATATGCCTAGCACTGTACCACCCCTGACCTTGTGGCTGGGGAGCTCGTATTAAGCACATTGGCGGTGCCCCTGGTGGGTGGAGCGCCACGCGTGGGCTGTGTGCTGTAATCATGAAGGTGCATTAATATTATGCCAGTCGGGGAAAATGTCAATGTCAAAATTATGAGCTCACAGAGAGAGGTACCATTTCAACAAGCTGCCACTGTTGGTATGTGTGTTTTGCCTGGTCAAAGCACTCTGAGTAGGCAGGCCCCTAGAAACATATGAGTTGCTGTTGTTGCGAATATGATTCCGTGTGTTTAGTCTGTGGCACCACTAAGGTCAGCAAGATTCTAATTATAAATTATGAGATCATACATTGCTAGAACAGAGTTTGCATAAGCTATGAAGGAATCAATCAGCTGCTTGCTTGTGTTCAACATTATGAGCAGACATACCCTTAGTAAAAGGATAGTAAGCAAGTGTCCAGGAGAGATTATCAAGGCCACGAAAAATGAACTGTGCAATGGTATAAGATCAAGTAATATACTTTCTGGTCATTGGATACACACTAGCAGAGCCTCACACACTCGCAAGGCACTATCAATATAGAAATAGTAAGAAAGTAAAATATGATCCTCATTATTGTTCATACACACCTTGTTAACATGCCCCGATTAATAGCATACAAAGTCAATCTTTGAAGAACTACATTTGTACTACATATCCAATCAGTGGCATCCCTAAGTCAATTTTCAAATAAAATCACCTGCTATATTCTGTTTTCTCTCTTCGCAGAGCCCAAGTGATAGCCACAGTGATGTATATATCTGTGAAGAAAGCTGTGACAGGCTGTATAGTCCCAGGTACCTGTGAAATACTCAGAGCTAGTGATCATAGTAGGATCAATGAGGCTGTTACATACTCTAGCATATGCAAATGCACTAGGAAGGAGTGGGTGTGTCATCCTGAGTTGTTGTCAGATCCATTAGATGAATGTATAAATTAAGAGTACAATTCAGAATAACTTACACTACATGAACATTATCTATTTTTAAAAAAATCACAATGAGCTCTAATAGTCTTGAAAACCACAATTCAGATGCACCCAAACCACAAGCTTAAGATAACAAATGAATATAGAAGCATTTAAAGGAGAAAAATGGGACATACCACATGAAACCAAAGCTATGATGATCTTTGAATTCAAAGAATCAAGACTTGATAGAAACAATTTAAGAATAGAACATACTACAAAAGCAACAACAGGTAGCTGATATTTTCTTTGTTTCATCACTGGAAATAAATCATACAGTATTCAGGCTGTTCATAGATGTGAAGCCTTACAACCCCATATCATATGTGTATAATACCTGTCATATTCAAGTGAGCTGAAAATCAACACCAGACATTCACAATACTCCACACTTACATGTGCACAAAAAAAACTAGTATTGTCTACTATAATTGTGAACAGATATTTCCTAGAACTATATGAATGCAACTTACTGACAATGCAAATTCACACTACAATCAATAGTCAGTAAAACCAACAATTTCTTCTGAACTAGATACACACTATAGCAGTCCTGAAAACCATATGTATAAAAACATCAACATAGAACTATAATGTAAACAGAAATACAGATACTAACATTTGCAGTGAAAGAAGTCCCAGCAAATTGCTATGGCTGATTATAGTATATTCCCAAATGAACTAAAGTCTTTCAGTGAAATAAATTGAATGAAGATGATAAACTTTACTTGAAGGCTCAAAGTTGTTGTGACAGTGTCAATAAGCCTGTTTCAATAATGTATCAGTAAACAGCAAATATAAAGAACTATCACAAACCATAATACAGCAACCTACAGCATGAGTATAAGCACAAAACACATTGATAGTATAGGCACCAGAACACAGTAGACTCACTAATAGTTTCAAAGTCACACTGTCATTGGGATATGTCCATATATAATATAGAACCTGTGCACAGGTAACACCATAAAACCTAAAAACCCAATCAGTACTGATATAATAGTCACAATAGAGACAAATATGTGTGCAATAATCAGTATACATACATTGTAGCACAACCAACACCTATAAATGCATAACCAACAGTTGAAGATATAATATCCATAGTGAAGCTGTAGCTTTAGAAATTGGTGGTAAGGTAGAAACCTGCAGTAGCAAGCACACTAATATACTGAAAAGCTCATCAATATCCACAATCAACTTCAAACAATGTCATCTCATACAACAATCTTATTGCTTTTTCATGTATCTAGACACCAGATCTATCATCAAAGACACCTCCACAGACTCCTTGCATTCTGCATAATGATCAGCAGCTTATCAATAGGTGACTATATGTGGTGTCCTGTACTGCCACAATCAACAGCTCAGGTAAAAACTTGCCTAGTCAGTATAGATATCAACATGTGACGAACCCATTTACATATTTGATAGTGTCCTGCAGTAAATTAAAGGAGATAGCACACGAGAACATCAGCTTCAGAAGTAAAGAACGGCACCATACAGTTGAGCATTCATCATCATTTGACGATGTGGCAGTCGCGAATAAGGCAACAATAATCTCCTGTCCGTGAAGACAATTTTATGTCAGCCGAGAAAGTCAATGATAGAGATGCCATCAAAGCATAGACGCATTTACTTGGCATATAGTACCGGTACCGAAATGAACAAGTCGAGCTGCGCACTCACAGTTGCTGGCTCGGTCGGGCTTAGATTCCAGACCGCGTCACGGCGGGACTGTAACCTAGTTGAAGCCTCGAAAACAAGTCGTACATAATGAATCCATAGATATGTCGATATGTCTATGCTGCGAGTTGACCTTACCCATCGGCTGCCTCGTACTACTCGTAGACTTGGCGTACTAATGCATACTGGGTACGCTCTGAAGAGTGTCTGCTTACAGTGATTGATTGGAAAGGCTGGCGGACAGGCAAGAAAACAATGTCACGATGTCAGTTATTGCTTCAGACTGCCAATAAACAGCCTTGGCCACGTACCATGATCGGGGACACTAAGCAGCCCAACATGCAGGGACAAAAGTAATTAATCAGCGGCCACACGAGCAGCTCCGACAGCTACTTCGAGGGGGGTATTATCGCGGCGAGATGGCAGAGCTATGAATCAATCAAGGAAAGGAAGCGAATAACACTATTGCCTAAACAAATCGGTGGCATCGAGTTGACAGGAGCCTGGCACTCGCACGGTGCCCGCACATTGCAATGCGGCTTCACAAGAGGCCGAGGAGCGCACGGAGAAGCCACCAATAACTACTAAGTAGCACAGACAAGAATGTTGCGATTGAGCTTGTACTAGGCAAAAGTCACATGGAGAGAAGGCAACAACCGATCCCGCGCCACATTAGTATCCGCTGCCGCACGCGTCAAGAGCGATGGAGTCACTACTAGCATGAGTGGGAGTATTTCAGAATCTCTTCTTTGCAATTTCCCTCGCTCGTCGGGCACGATGTATCGATATCATCGCGTGCCGTCCCTCATCGACCCGCCCCTAGAAGCATGCGCTGCCAGCGTTAGTTTTTCTATTCATTGAATTGCCCATAACTCATGATCGGAATACCAGCGGAAAACCGGCGGGTAATACAAATCGGTCTTGCTTCTCGTCTCCTAGCGCTCAAAAGGAATACTTAGAGCCATGCAGAGCACCTAGCCTCCCAGGAATGCGCACCACCGCTCCGCTTGGTCGTGCCAGCCTCCTGACGTAGTGTGGCTCCCGCTTCTCTCATATAATCCATCGCGTCTATCCGGACCGAGACAAGAAACTGATCATGCCCGCACTCGATACTGTTGGCGACCAGCATGTCACTCGGAGAGACAATCTGCTAGTCCTTTTGGCTCGTGAGTTTGCCGATCTGACTTGAATCATACCTGATGAGCTTGACCGCAGGGAATACGCAGTAAATCAAACTTAGAAGCTCTCAATTATTCTATTCTCACTATGAGTGGCAGATATGATAGCGGTGACATAGCCTTTATCGCAATATGTGGGATTTTGGTCTCGTTCATGGTGCCCGGTGTAGGTGAGTATCGAAAACTTCATTCCTCAAGGGTGTCTCTTCTTACGTTCATGTGCAAAGCATTTCTGTATTCTGGTCTTTCCAGACGTAAAAGCGCACTGTCTCTTGTGTGGGCAGTAGCGGCCAGCAACGCCGTGGTCATCTTCCAGTGGTACTTCTGGGGATACTCTCTTGCATTTTCGCCCACAGCCACGAACGGTTACATAGGCAATCTTCGAAGCTTCGCCTTGCGCAAGGTTTTGAGCGATCCGAGCCCAGGATCCCCGCTCATTCCCGAACTGCTGTATAGCTTTTACCAGATGGAGTTCGCGTGCGTAACCGTCGCGATTCTCATGGGCGCCCTTGCGGAGAGAGGACGGGTGTTCCCGGCCATGATTTTTACCTTCATCTGGGTGACGCTTGTGTACTGCCCGCTCGCTTGCTGGGGGTGGGCCCAACATGGATGGGGGTTCTCTTGGGGCGTTTTGGACTATGCAGGTACGTGCTCTGATCAGATATATGATTTGCTATATGTATATTTATTGCATAAAGGCGGTGGCCCCGTCGAGATTGGTAGCGGCGTGTCTGGTCTCGCATACTCGTGGGTCCTCGGCCGGCGATCCGAGCGCGAACTTATGAACTTCCGGCCGCACAATGTCTCCTTGGTTTGCCTCGGAACCTTCATGCTCTGGTTTGGCTGGCTAGGTTTCAACGGCGGCAGTGCCTTTGGTGCGAATCTCCGTGCAGTCCTCGCTATCTGGAATTCGATGATTGCCGCGGCGATGAGCGGTACCGTCTGGTGCCTGCTCGATTACCGTATCGAACGCAAGTTCTCCATGGTCGGATTCTGTTCCGGAACTATAGCAGGCCTTGTTGCGGCTACGCCTGCGTCTGGATACATCCCTCAGTGGGCAGCATTGATCATGGGCATTGTGGTTGGTGCCGCTGCAAACTACAGTACGAAATGTCCGTACTCTATTTACTATTCCGCTCCTTCACGTTGCTAAGTCTATTGCAGTGAAATTTCTAATGCAAATTGATGATGCACTCGGTAAGTCGTGTCGAAGGCCTCGTCTTGCATAAACCTTCATTGTCCACGCAGATTTGTATGCCGAACACGCCATAGGCGGGATTATCGGCCTCGTATTCAACGGGCTGTTCGCCGACAGCGAACTTATCGCACTAGACGGCGTTAACACATCTGTTCCCGGGGGCTGGTTGGACCACAACTGGAAGCAATTATACATCCAGGTGGCTTACATTTGCGCTGCTGTGGGATACTCATTCGTTATGACTGCCATCCTCGCGAAAGCAATGAACATGATTCCTATGCTCAGTCTGCGGGCTTTGCCCGAAGAGGAAGTACTTGGAATGGATGATGTCCAGGCAAGTACTTGCCGTCATGTCAGTTTGTTTGCTAACGCAATCTGGTTGCAGATCGGAGAGTTCGCCAACGACTATATCGAAGTCCGGCGAGACTACACTGATTGGACACCGGCGTACGCGAGGAAAGCGTCAGACACCGGCTCACAAGCGCCACTTGCAGCTGGAGATCGGCATGCACGCCCAGATTGGGGTCCACACGATCATCGGCATAGCCGCCTCGACGATACGAGGTACGCGTTTTCGTCTGCTGATGACGTTTTGTCGATGATGCGAAAGGCCGATAGAAGTGCACAAAATCCTTACGCCGCAGAGGATCACCGCGCGCGCTCAGATGCGTCGATGCGACATAGCCAAGATGGCTCACTTCCTACGATTGCGGAGAAAGTCCATAATCCTAATGGATATTCGCGGCCATAACCTATCTGCGTGCAGGGTTACAAAGATAAGCTGCCAAGACGAAAATACCTCGAGAGGGCCATATACGAAGTCGTATTTGTAACAGTCATATTCATCCACATGCCGATACTGATTGGGTTGAGGCACCTACATAAGTGTCTGTGCTCGTGGTGCCGAAAGATGTGTGCTTTCAGTGTAGACAGTCAGTCTATGTTAATGTGTGAGACGTGCTATAAGTTGCAGATGACTTGTTGATGCCTACGAGGTCGAAGTCAATACGATTGAGTCGACTGAATTCGAAATTGAGGGGAACCCACGTCGTTGGCCGTGGCGGACCGAAGTCGCCGAGTTTTGGCCGGAATGTCATTACTTACCAAGCCAAGGCTTACTTCAGATATAAACGCGGGCAGAATACAGCGGAACGGAGGCTCCTTTCTCTCTCCTCCTTCCGACCCACAATCTCGAAATGGCCCAGAGTCCTCCTTTGTTTTGGCTGCCTTCCGAGCTCACAGAGCGCATATTGCTGTGCTGCCACCCCCACGAAGTTGCCGTAAGCGTTCGCTATCACCTGCGATAGCTCGTGGGACTCACCCTCCGATGTAGAGTTTCGCGGAGACGTGTAGGATGGCGTACACTCTAGTCTACAAGGCGGAAGACAGCTTTCTCTGGCGCGAGCTGTTTCTCGCTCAGCCATTCGACGATCTCCGCAAAGCGCCGCCCCGGCCAGGGAACCCAGCCTCCGCCAAGCTCGAATGGAGAGCGGAGCTCCAGCGCAGGCTCGAAGCAGAGTCGGTCGTCCGCAAGGGGATCACCGGGCCCCGTCTGCTGCGTGCCCTGGAGACTCTCGTGTCCGTCGTCGAGACCGCCCTGCCGCTCTCCGACGGCCCGGACGCAGACCACTCGCACAACCTCCTCTGGCTCGACGGGCTCCTGCACCGCGCGCGGTTCGACGAGGACGAGCTGAGCGAGCTCGAGCGGCAGCTGCTCGGCCGCCTGCGCACGTACCTCGCGCTGACGTACGAGACCGGCAGCGGCACGAAAGACGCGGCGTCCGTGCGGCGCCTCAACGAGATCCGCCGCCAGAGCCGCTGCTTCGTGTACGACCTGCGCAAGTACACCGCGCACACCGAGTACGGGCCCTTCCGCTGCGGCGCGGGCGGCGCGCTGTGCGTCGACTGGGAGCACATGGAGCACGTCCTGAACGTCGTCGCGCTGAAGCTGCGCGAGCTGCCCGACCTCGCGCTGCGGCTCTACAGCAAGCCGCGCCCGGGGCTCACCGCGACGCAGGCGTTCTCCGCCCCGTTCTCGCACGACCGCGCGCCGCACGACTGGGCGGGCGTGGCGGGCGTGTGGAGGCGCTTCGTGTGCTTCATGGACTACCGGTGCGTCGCCCGCGGTCTCGTCTGCGTGTCCGCGGGGTGCTGACCGGCCGTCCGCGCGCAGTGACCTCTTCAGTGAGTTGTTGCCCGTGCACGTCTGTGGGTTCGCGCTGACGGGCTGACCCGCACGCTCGCGCGCGCGCGCTGCAGCGTTCAACGTACGTGGCGCCCCCCGTGCTGCTGCCGTCCGAGTAGAATGACGCCCTCATCGTGCAGTATTCTGTGCAGGCCGGGCCCCGCGACCCTTCGTTCTTCGACGACGATTACGTCGAGGCGATCCGCCCCGTCGAGCTGCGTCTCGATGTGCTCGACCCCGCCGCTGCCGCGGCGAAGGCGAGCACGGCGGGGATCGAGACGGTCGACGCGCGGTACCCGCCGACCTTCTTCAAGGGCGTCTCGCGCGGCTCGCACAACAGCGACGCGGTCGTGGAGGGCACGGTGTACCTCCTCGCGGACGGCGCGATCCGCTGGACGTTCGTGAGTCGGCACGGGGCTGTTGCGGTTCGTCGCGTTTCTCACTCGCACCGTCCGAAAGGTCACGAAATATGACGGCCTCATGCAGTGGAGGTAACCGCTCGGCCGCCTCTTGGGAGTGTGTGCTGGTGTTGACTACGGCGTTGCCGGTGTGTGCTTTGCAGTGCGGAGGCCGTCCAGGTCGGCAACGTGTGCAGCGCCGCGGGCGTTGCGGGGATCTGGACTGGGGCTTTCCACGACGAAGGTGCGTTGCGCGTGGCGTCCTCGGGAGATTTTTTTTTTTCTGATCGCGGTGTCCGTAGGCGACCCTGCAGGTACGCGTTCCCCAGCCGCCTCTGCTTGCGCGTCGTCCGGGCTGAGCTGCTCTTCAGGTCCGTTCTGGATGTGGAAGGTCCCTGCTGCGCTGCCGGCAGAATTGTTTTGAAGGATGCTCTGAAGTGAGTTCTACAGTTGTTGCATGATGATGTGCCTCCTCCAAAGATCATTCAAGTTACCGGGATGGTGGAGCGCGAATTGTATATTGTCCACATTGCTTTATGTTTCATTCTTAGACGAGCCTGCAGGCGACCCCACTCGCTGCGCGTACCAGTAGTACGTATGTTGGATCGATTAGTATTATGAGACATGATCCTGCCCGCCTGCTACCCGTGCAGACGCCGGTCTTGCCCAGCCCTGTTTAGCGTGTTCGATCTGCGTGAGTGTGCTGGCAGCATTGCCCGAGAATTCAGCGAGCTTCAACAGTCACTGACATACATATGTCTTCGTCCGAGCGACGGATGTACGGTTTGGCTCGGGATCATTAGTCTCCCAGTCTTCGACACGTCTGGGTACGTGCCTGAGGCGGGGCTGGGAACGACCTTCCTTCTTGGGGAGGGGCACGATTTAAAAGGGCGCCCGCGGCGCTGGCCCCTCCCAATTCGAACCCTCACCACGGCCCCGCGTCCTCGCGGGGCAACTCTCTGTCTGTCAATCCACGCCCTGGGGTACAACGCGGAGAGGGGCGACGAACCCAGAGCGCAATTAAGCCGGAGCGCCTCCCAGCCACGCACCCGTCCGCTCCTTCTGGAGGCCGGGGTGGGGGGTGCTTGACTATGTCGCTCGTACATTTTTCGGTGCTCTCGCTACAGTAGTTGGTCTGTCTGTACATACACGCCCTGCGTCCGTCATACGTACTCTACAGTGGATAAGTTACACGGCGGCGCGCGTGCGTGCGGGTCGTGGATATAAGTTAACATTCCGTGCAGCCGGGCGAGCGAGAAAGTATAGGTCGGGGCTACTATATAGAACATGAAGACATAAAGCGACGTCGCGCGCGTGCGCTGGCCGAGGAACCACGGTATGTAACCCCGACGCGGGCCGCCGCACGCCCAGGCGCGGCGCCTCAGCGCGCGTACTCGCCACCGTAGTTGACGCTGGAAATAGGCAAGCACTGCAGTTAGCACGGGCGGGGGGCGGCGGCAAGGGGGCGACTCACGGCTTGAGCCGGGCGAGCTCCTCGTCGTTCTCCCACGCGTCGCCGTTCCCGCCGCGCGCGTAGTCCGTGTCCTGGTGGAGCGGGATGCGCGTGCCGACGCCCATGTAGATGGCGACGGAGATGAACTCGGGGAGGACGGACATGGCGAGGTAGATGCCCCACGGGCCGGTGATGGCGTTGAAGTTCTTGAGCGGGGAAGAGCTCGTGAGCGGCGTCATCTTCCCCTCCGCGTTGATCTCGTACATGAGCGGCGCGAAGCCGGACAGGACGGTGTACGCGACGCGGATGGCGAGGAAGGGGAGTGCGGCGGAGATGCCGGCGAGCAGCTGCGCGGGGTGAGTGAGCACACGAACACGAAGGGGGAGAAATGCGGATGGAGCGCACCGTGCGTCTGTAGCGCAGGATCGTGTCGCGGTTCGACCAACAGAAGACGTGGACAAAGAAGATGAGGCCGTAGAGGATGCCGAAGAGGATGACGGCGATGTGGCGGAGGCTCTGGCCGGAGGTGAGGGTGGATTCGGTGGTGGCCTCGCCCTCTTTCACGCCGCCCACGATGGCGAGGATGAGAGCCACTGTGCATAGCAAGCCCATGAGGCGGAGCCCCCGCTTGATGAGGGGGTGATCGTCAAGCGAATTCTGGCATCTGTGGGGGAGATGAGAAGCGGGGGGGGAAGGGGGAGGGCGGCTGCACTTACACTGTCTGGAGGAAACCTAGGGTTGCCAAGAGAAGCGGGGAGACACCAGACGTCTCGAGTATGCTGTAAACGATTTGAAGAGTGGTGTTTGTCGGGCTAACCTCCGATGCGATGTGGGTGATGCCCCCGACGATACGGACTGGAAGGTGGAGGATTAGAGGGGAGGGGAGGGGGAAAGGGAAGGGAAAGACATACTGAGGGCGAGAAGAACGAGGAAAACCCAGCCGGCGCGACGGGTGAAACCGTGGCGAACGGTGAGGGCGATGGACCAGACAAGGATGGGGCTGTAAACGATGATTTCTGCAACAGAAATGATCCCTCTGTCGTCGAGCTTGGTCATGATTACCGGGAGGGAGTGAAGAGGAGGAAGAGGAAGGAAACAAGAAAGAGGGAAGAACGGGGAGAGACGCAAGAAAGTGGACGGCGGGATGGGCCAAGAGACAGACTAGCGTGGGCCTTTTATAAAACTCAATGATTGATGCGGGGCTCTCGGGCGGACCCCTAGGTTCGCTGATTTGTCGATGGCGATGCGATGCGCGCAGTGCTGTACAAGAGCCGGCGTAGAGAAGCGGGTGAGATGAGACGCCATATTTGAGACGACGCCGACGCCGGATGGGACCGCAGCGAGATCGGTTGGGCAGTGTCGAAGAGGACAAAGGTGCAATGGATGCCATCCGAACCAGAGCGGATCAGATTGCAAGAAGAACGAACCTGTCTCGATGCCATTTGGCCCTAGGCCAGGTGCAGTAGGCGACGCGAGGGCGACGGTGGCCCGAACACGAATGTTTCAAACTTCAGCCAGCGCCGACCCCACGTGCGCGTCATTGATCGAAACGGGCGATCACTGGCGCCTGCTGGTTTCGGCCGCCCGGCTGCGGCACCGCCAATGTCCATATGCGGACATGAAAACGCCGGAGGGTTCCTGGCGAGCCGATCCGCGGGCGGCGGGCGGGTCAGAACCGGTTCGTCTCGGACTTTGCACCGACCGACGAGGATGCGCCTCCCCCGCCGCGTCCCCTGGGCGTCGCTCGCAGAACTCGAGCAGCTGTGCTCCTGGATCGACGACGTCGACAACCACACAGACGCTGCCCTCCGCGCCATCAACAGGGTTCGTACGTCCCCAGCTCGCTATTTTTCATACTCACCCACACCCCCCCCATCGTCGCCGCAGCTCGCAGCATGGAAGGCAGTCACCGCCCTCCCCCACGCCCTCGACGCCACTCACGCCCTCCTCGCCGCCATCGCCCTCGACGCCGCCCACGATCCGCACGCCTCCCGCCTCTCTCTCCGCCAGAGCTACGCGACAGCCCTCATCCGCCTCGTCAACGGCCTCGTCGACCCCCTCCAGCTCGGCCCATACGCCCGCTCCATCGCTAGCATCGCCGCACAGCTCAACCTCCCCTCGTCGTTCGTCGAGCTGCGCCACGCTGCAACCCATGAGGACCTCCCCAGCATCGACGTCCTCCGCACCGCCGCACGAGAGGTCCGCTCCCCCGCCCTCCTTGCCCGTCTTGCATCCTCACCCCCCACCCTTTTTTCCCGCAGGCAATGGCATGGCTCCTCAACAACTACTTCCTTCCCACACTCAACCCCTCCGCGCCCCCCGCAGCCCAGCGCCCTCCGTTGCGTCCCCTCGCCCCGCTCCTCAAACGGTACAAGTCCCTCCTCAAGATCACCGCCCGCGACACGTCCCTCTCTACCCGCCTCAAGCCCCGAGTCACCAGGGTCCTCCGCGACATCGAGCGCTGGGTTGCCGAAGCCAAGGTCGCCGCCACCGGCCTCCAGTGGGCCGACGCGGACGAAGACGATGCCCGCGAGCGCTGGGCACTCGAGCGGCTCTGCGACGCCCTCGTCGACAAGGGCGCCCTCGTGCCGCTGTCCAAAGAGTCCGTATTCGCCTTTTTCTTCTTCTTCCAAATACCTGCTACCCGCCACTGACATGCACGCCCAACACTAGGAAGCGCGTCCTCGCAGGCACGTCGTTCGTTCCCGCCCCCGTCATCGTGCGCATCTGGACGCCGCTCCTCGCCCACCTCGAGGCTCTCCACCCCAGCCTCCCGTCCGTGCTCGTCGCGCGCATCGCCGCCGTCCTCACCGCAGAGCCGGCCGCGCCGCCCGACGCGGACGTCATCCTCCTGGACGACGCGTCCCCCCGCCCGGATCCCTCGTACGACCGGTGCCTCGCCGCCTGGGCAAACCGTCTTGTGGACGCGTACGGCGTCCGCGCCAGCCACGATGACGACGACGGCGACGACGACG